CTTCAGAGGGTACAGGACTTGCCCAAGGTCACACAACTAGGACTAGACTCACATTTTTCTTTTCTTCAGTGCTGAGATTTGAACCCTGAGCCTCAAGCATGTGAAATAAGTGCTGTATCACAGAGCCATACCTCCAGCCCCTAAAGCCATGTTCTTGATGCCCTCTGTTGTCAACTCTCCTCTGCCTCCTTGAAATGATCCATACAGATGGGTGGTGCTCTTTTGAACTCCACATTTTCACCAAATTGATAAACTAGAGAAGATTCAGAGTTGCGTGGTCAAGAAAGCAAAAGGTCTAGAGATATTTCATGGAAGAGATGGTAGAAGATGGAGGCTATGTGTCTTGATAAGAGTAGATCTAAATTGGGTACAGAGGTGGTACCTCCCCCCCCAATTCCAGTGACTCAGGAGGCTGAGGCAGGAGGATTGAAAGTTTGAGGCCAACCTGGGCAAACTAGCTCAAGACTGTGTCTCAAAATAAAAATTAAAAAGGTCTGGGGATGTAGCTGAGTGGTAGAGTGCCCCTGGGTTTTATTTCCACTACTGCAAAAACACATTCTGGTGGCCCCGGGAGGCAGAACCCAGGTTAGTGACCGGTGAGTAGAGATTATAGGAGGGCAGGTTTTAATTCCAAGAAAAGATTTGCAAAACCTGGAGCCCTCCAGAAAGGAAAGCACTTGCCTCAAGGAAGAGGAATCCAAGTGGAGAGGCTGAAGAATCCATCACATGCAGACATACTGTCATTCCACCCCTCAGATGGAATCCTGGCTAGGTCCATTTGAAGATCCTTTCCAAATCGGAGGTCCTATGAGATGCTGTAGGCAAACAGTGGGAGGAAGATGCTGACCTCAGAGACTGGCAAGAGGGAGGGCTGGACTGAGATGAGGGGGCAGCAGAGGACGAGAGTTAGAAGGGAGTATAGAAATCATTGAATCCAACACCTTTTTTTTGCTTGTGGTACTGGGGATTAAAGAACCCAGGGGCACTTTACCACTGAGCTATACCCCCAGCCCTTTTGATTTTTTTCGTTTGGGACAGGTTCTCACCAAGTTGCTGAGGCTGGCCTTGAACTTGCAATCCTCCTGCTTCAACCTCCAGGGAAGCTGGGATCATGAGCAGGCAGGACCATGCCCAGCTCAACACCTTTGCTTTAAAGGTAGATAAACCCCTGTCCAGAAGGGTGATGTGACTCCTCCATGGTGACGGACTGGGATCATAACCTCACTCCTCTGCGCCTGGCACCCCCCAGTGCTCTGGGTCTCTCCTTGCTCAGCAGCCACTCACGGTGCTTGGTGCTCCCTGCCTCCCTCCCAGGCTGGAGAGCAGAGGGGTTAGGGGCCCCTCCCCTCAGGGGTCCCTCAGGGCCTGGGGGTGGTAGGAGGGGGCAGCTGCAGCTGTTCTCCTGCTAGCTCCGAATTTCTTCAGATAATCAATTGGCCTCGGCTGCCGCTCCACTCCACTCGGCAGGATGGGGGAAGGAGGAGGAGGAGGAGGAGGAGGGAACAGGGAATGGGTGGTAGAAGAGGGTGGTCAGGGAGACGGGAGTCCCTGGGCTGAAGGGAGAGAGAGAGAGCGTCTGGACTGACAGACAAGGGGGAGGGAGGAAAGAGATTGCTAGAAGAAGAGAGCTTCGTGGCCTCCTTTCACTTCCCTCCAAAACCCAGGTGGTGGGCCAGGGGGTGGAGGGGGCAGCGTGGGGGCCCAGGTGAGCAAGACTCTGGCACCTCTCACCCCTTCCTTCCTCCTTTGTCTTCTTCCCAAGGATCCCATCTGCAGCCAGGGCCCCTTCCAGCTGTCCGGGCTCTCTCCCAGCCCCAGTTACCCACAGGCCCCTGACCTTCCAATCCTGCCTGTCATAATGGCTCCCCTCTGCCCTCCATCTCGGCAACCCTCATTCCCGGGGACAGAGCAGAAGGCCGGGCCCCAGGGGTTTGAGAGTGGGGGGTCTCTAAGCCACTCCTTCCCTTCACACACACACACACACACACACACACACACACACACTCACTCACTGTGTAGGCTGCCAGGCATATGGCCCCTTTGTGCC